TTGAAGTTTTTCCATTCCACTTACCTTTATTTCCTCTCTCCCACACCTTGGAACCAAAGGAAGCTCCTTCATAAATGGTTGCACAATAGCACTCTATCTTGTACCACATCAGCCTTAGCAGAATTGTGGCATTTGTTCACTTCTCAGTGAAAGAAAATCTAAAATCAAATGAAAACAGAAACAACTCAAAGCTGCTTGTGCTTGATTGGTTTCATTTATTTGTATATCCATAGCTCAGATCAGTTCTAACAAGCAAAACAAATATTCAAATAGGTCTAAATTAGATAAAACCATGATTGCAAAAATCAACAATGCAACTGAGAACAGCTTAGCTATCTCTGACTACTTTTCATTTCTGGCAATGCTGCCATTCCTTATGATGCAACCCTAAGCAAGGGACCTGAGATAGTAGTTCCATAACCTTCAGGAAATGTGGTGATGCTTCTGTCATTCCTACATAACAGGCATTTCATTATAGTTTCATAATTGGTAGGGTCGGAAGGGACCTGAGCAGATCATCAAGTCTGACCCCCTGCCATGGCAGGAAAGAGTACTGGGGACAAGCGACCCCAGCAAGGTGATTGTCTAGCCTTGTCTTAAAGACCCCCAGGGTAGGAGCCAGCACCACTTCGCTTGGAAGTTGGTTCCAGATCCTAGCTGCCCTGACAGTGAAGTAGCCCCTCCTGATGTCTAATCTGAATTTACCCTCTGCCAGCTTGTGACTGTAATTCCTAGTCACTCCTCGTAGTACTCAGGGGAACAGGGACTCCCCCAATGCCTGCTGGTCGCCTCTGACTAGTTTGTAATGCTATTATTGCATCATCCCTGTTTCTCTGCCCAAATTCTTGTCATGCAAGTAGACACCAGTCCCAGATGCTTCAATCAATCAAAGTGTGAAGATGTCAGAGACTAAAGGCAGCATCTTACTAAAGACTTGCCAATTAAAAAACCACAATAACTAAAGGGGAAAAGAAGTAGAAAATATGAGAATAGACCTGAGGAAAAGGGTAGGTACAATAGCACAAAATTATGTTTAAGAGACAGGGGCCACATCTACATGAGACACTACTGCGCATTTATTTAGTAAATGTATAGCATTACTGCGCATTTATTTAGTAAATGTATAGCATTGTCCTTTATATAAGTACTGAATAAATGTGCAGTAACCCGAATTACTGTGTAGTAGTGCTGGCAAGTGCCTTTTTTGTGATGCTACTGCATAGTGACCTAATACTACTGTGCAGTACCATCGTATCATGGTTTTTGCCACATGACGCTACTATGCAGTCAGTGTCTTGTGTGATGCATTGGGGGGGGGGGCAGGGATTCAGTCTCAGTGCACAAATGATTGATTTAAACTCCTGTTTAAATTAATGGGATTTGCCCCTAAAGAGATTCTATGAAGCCAAAGGTGGAAAGGGAAGAACAAAATCCCAATAAAGAATATGAAAAATGAAAGTAACAACTGAGTCATAACAAGGACAAATGCTGTGGTCAAGAAACAGACAGCAGTAGGGGGAAAAAAACAAAGGGAAACTGACAGGAAAGAAAAGAGACACATGCGGAAATGATCCAGCTAGGATTGGTTTCACACAATTGTAACTGACACACAATAAGCTTTGCATTATTTAGCAACCTTCTCCTAAGTACACTTTCCCTCCCACCCCATTAGAAATCCTACAGGCAAGCTGTTGCCATTTTAATCACTAGTGACACAGCCCTTCTTAGGGCTCCCAGTCACTCATTTAATAAATAAATAATTGTCTCTCTCAGTTACAAATCTAGAGAGATGGGACCAAGCTGAAAAAAATGGAGCTAGAGTGTACCCTAAATCCCTAGCAAATTTGGGGGCAGGAGGAGAAAGAGGAGGGAGGTTCTATCCTTACAGACACGTTTCATATCCATTGTAATAACATTCTTTTTGTTTATGGCAGAATTGATATCAGTTAGACCTTAGAAATTCTCCTTTCTATGAACACTTTTTGCAAACCCCACTCTGTCATGTCCACGATCAAAAACACAGTAGTATGCAGACATAAATACATCTCCTAAGATCCAAAGCTGTCCAGAGTGAGTGGTGATGTCCAGAGACTGAAAGCCACTAATGCACAAGGATCTTCCATCTATGGACTCCTAGAATGGAAAATGCACTTACATTTAGAGCAATATTTTGTCATCTCAGAGTAAGAAACGTTTGTCAGAATTTATAGACATACCTTTATTATATATTGTTCCGCTGTTAACTTGTATTCTTTGTGTCCAATAGTGAAGCTTATACGTGGCAAGCTTGACAGTCTTCTGCAGTCTACAATGAACTGTAAAACAATAAATTGGTTGACTTGAGGTTCCTATGTTTGGTGTTTTACACTGCTTTTTTAAATTAAAAATGGTTATCCGTCTATCAACTTTCAAACCTACATATCAACCAGAGAACCAAATCTGGGAGTGTGTTGCTGAATACAAAATAGCTGCAGCATATCAAACATTCAGGGTTATATGATGGCCCTGCATGGGAGTGCAAGTGGTGGAAGCAACCTGGGATATCCACTCTCAGTTTCAGGCACTGGTTTAACTCCCCAGGCTCCTAACACAAGTACGAAAATCAAGGCCAGATACTGATGTCCCTAAACAGTAAGAATGACAAATGTGAAGACAGATGCTACACTAGTGAGCACAGCCACACTCTTGTGGGTGCTCACTGTCTCTTATAAAGGAAATATTAGTAGGCTGTGCTGTGTGCACTCCTCCTCCTCCCAGTCTGCCTCAGTTCTGGGAGCTGCTTCCAAGGTCTAGTCTGTTCTCAAAAACCCCTAAAGGAGCACTTCCCACCCATCCCTTTCTATAGATTATCATAGCTTCAGGTGAATAGAGCCCATTTAGAACGTTTGTAGGTCACATGATGCTATAGGCCATAGCAGCCTCAAATCCAAGGGAAGCTTTATAGTCAGCTTTATTGTTTTGACATATTACTTTACAAGTCTCCTATAAGAAAGTAATGTAGAATTTTGTAAAACTAGCTTATGCCTTTGATATTTTACACATTGTGTTTTATACCATAATGGGTGCATCTACATGTGCACTTTACTGTGGAGCTGACTAATTAGCTCCACAGTAAAACATTACTATTTACACATGCGCCCGTATTAGGGTGCAGTAAATTAATTAATTCTGATGTAGGATGATACTGTCCAGGACAAGTACTATCCTATAGCAGAGTAGTTAAGCACACCAAAATGTATGTGTAGATGGTGACTGGGACTGGTTGCCGGTTATCCCCCGACTGTAGCACCCTTGTGTCTCAGCCAACCCTTCCACAACACACTGAGCTAGGGCACAACAGTCCCAGGCTGGCAGGCTGACCCTCCAGATCCCCTGCTAGCCCAGGTCTGCTCTACCCTGGCTCAACATGCTGCAGTCCCATGTGCATGTGTAAATTCTGGAGAATTTACACCCAGAAGAAATAAACTCTGGCATAAACTGCACTGGAGTTTATTTCTGCATGCTAATTGTACTTGTAGATGCATTCATTGGCTTGTATGCCCATTGAGTCCATTCTGAGAAACATGACTCAAATAGAGCAGTTAAGTATCCTGTGGTATATACAGCATCAGTGTAACAGCCATGAGGATTCATTGTGGGATATGAGGGTCATAACCAAATGTCATTTATACAAAACTGTCTGGAACAATTTAATTCCTAGTATATGGGAATACAAATCCTGTTGCAGCCACTGGCATTTGCAACCACTTATGCTAAGGTAATCTGTCTCTATATTTTGATTTGTCTTTAATATCTACAAAAGTTAGATGCAACGTTATATGTTCAGGCTACTTTGAAACAGAAATTGAAACTTGACTGAATAATATCATTTTAACATTGCCTAAAATAATATTCCAAGTACTGAAAATAAAAAAAGTGTGTGACTCTGTGGGGAAAAAGTCTCCCTCTCATGCCCTGTTAATTTTTGCTTGAATATAAATTGAATACATGATTTTAACTATTCCTTTTTGCAAGTATGAATGATAATATCACCTTTATTTATGTGATCACTTATTATCTTAAACATGCATGTACATGCACTTTAGACTGGAAACAAAACAGGTTTCTGTTAGAATTAGTAAACTGAAAATCACTGGTGTTAACTAGGCATAATCAAAACTGGAATAACACAGTTGTGAATCAGGCACAAATAAGCACAAAGGGGGCAGAATTAAAACTGTGCTTACTACATTATCTTTGGCATTGACTTATTTTCAAGGTTCACCATGTAGTCTTAATGTTGCTTTAGAATATGACTTTGCAACAGAATGAGCTGTAATCAAGATTGCTGAAAAGTGAATAGAAAAAAAATTAAAAGTGAAAAGAAACCATATGTGTGTTTGTTGCGTTGGAGGTATTGAAGTTGTGGCAATGCAGTAATTGAATCAGCAAGTCAGCCAAAGGTCAACAGTAAAGCACTGGCAAAAATAAATGACACTGTCCCTAGAGAAGGATAGAGTTTAGCTGTCTCACTCTTGTTACCTCAGTACTTTAGACGTTGCAGAAGTTAGGTCATGTGAAAATGTTACCCACTATGCAATAGGGAAATGTGAGCCACAGCGAGGAAAGAAGCCCTGGTACTGAAAAGTACTCAAAATCGACAAAGAATGTCTTGCATTCAAAAGCTTGTCTAACTCTACTACGTAGTTGGTCCAGTAAAATATATCACCCTAAGAAATCCTTGCCTCTTAAAAATGTATAGCACCGCCCTCATGAATTATATGCAAATGTGTTAGTGTGGGGATGTAATACATAAAACACACCTCAAGATGGCAGTGTTTTCATACAGAAGGCAGGGTTAACTATGCCCCTTTATAGATTAACTAAATGAGATATATATAAAGCACAAGCTTTTGAACCCAAATTCAGTCTTTTCATACACCACACCTCATATCACAAGCTCAGCAGTAGGAGTTCATGAAGGCTGGAGACCCAAACTTGAAAAACGCTAGTGGGAAGGTTTAACTTATATACAGCAATCACAGGGGTGTAGGTTGTAGCCGTGTTGGTCTAAGGACATAGGCAGATGAGGTTCTTTGGGTGAATCTGATATCTTTTATTAGACCAATTTAAATAGTTGGAAAACAATTTTTAAGTTTAAACAATTTTAACCCAAAAGCTTGCTTAAAAATTGTTTTCCAACTATTTAAGTTGGTTTAATAAAAGATATCAGATTCACCCAAAGAACCTTGTCTGCCATACAGCAGTCAGTGTTCCACAGAAAAGTCTCAAAATTCACATGATCCAACCCAATAAATGCACATAGAAATCAACATGGAGGCCAGTCTATGAATGGCAAGCCGTGAAGTGATTAAGTAAAGCTGTTTTGACATCAAAGGAAAAGCAAGAGCATCAGAGGATGACACTGGCGCTGACTGGGAGGTAGCATAGTGAGGAAGGGAGTGGAAACAATGGAGATCTGAAAATGAGCTGTGCATGGAAAGAAGGAAGTGGCAAGGAAAGTGGAGAGCAAATAGAGCTTTAGAAGGAAGAGAGTAAAAGCTGAGGGTGGCAACAGAACACAGTACAAAGTCGAGACACAATGCAGGGAAGAAAAAAAAGAAGCAGGTGGGAAGAGAGATAGAAGCAGGGAAGAAAAAAAGAATGAAAAAGGTCCCAGGGAGTAAATGTGTGCAGAAGATGGGAAGGATAGAAAAGAGAAGGCCTGGCTCAATCTGATTCTCTGCAGGAGTTCTGATGACATTAGCATTTAGCCTAATAACTAGAGACCCATAAGTCTGGACGATACCATAGTCTTTCAGTGGTAGAACAAGGGGGTGCAAATGAGTTACAGTTTTTATCTTAATTTCTTGGTTATGACAGGAACTCTTCCTGGACTTGGAAGAGATACCAGTCATGCCCTAAGACCTGGGAAAGGTCATTTTTCCCTTAGTTTACAAAAAGATATTCCATCTGGTATATGATGTCATGATTCTCTGGGCATCCTTAGCAGGAGAATACCTTAAAGAGCTACTTCCAGTAGCTAGATACGTATCATTATTGAGGAGAGGAGATATCTTGGAAAAGGAGGAAGGGAAGGAGAAGGATGAAAAAACAATACAATGCAAATGCCTTCCCTCCCCCCACACCGGCTCCCCAATATCTGTACCGCAAAGATCTTACTTCTTGCCTAATGTCCATCATTTTCTCCCTTTCCCTGCAATGCCATATCCTAAGTATTGGGACAAAATTACAGCTGCCCTTCCTTTTAAATTGCTTTCCTAGTCTGTGGTTTTTACCTCTCCAGTTTGTGTTGGACTTGCCCCAATGTACTCCTGAAGGCGTCTTATTTGGGAAGAGGGGCCAGTAATAAGAGAAGTTCCTGAATCAACAATGGCTTCACAACCGTGAGCACAAAACACAATCCGTCCCTGGATTTTCACGCTGCATGAGAAAAATAAGAACATATGCAGGCACTTTATTCAGTATAAAGATACAGAGGGTGGTGACAGAGTTAGCAGGGACTTTAATCAAGTCCAGCAGGTAATATAATGCAACCAACATAGGTTCATAGCAGGTAGATCCTGCCTGACTAACCTTATTTCTTTCTATGACCAGGTCACTAAATGCTTAAATGTAGGAGTCGAGGTAGATGTTATCTACTTGGACTTTATGAAGGCCTTTGACAGGGTATCCCATCCTATTCTCATAAACAAATTCAACGGCTGCGCCATAGGTGATTACAGTCATGTGGGTGGCAAATTGGCTTAAAGGTCATACCCAAAGAGTGGGGGTGGACAGGTCAGTATCGACCTGGAAAGAAGTGGGCAGTGGGGTCCCCCAAGGCTTGGTCCTTGGGCTGGTGCTGTTCAGTATCTTCCTCAGTGACCTGGATGAGAGCACAGAAAGCACTCTGTCCAAATTCACAGATGACACAAAATTATGGGGTGAAATAAACATACTGATGGGAAGAAACAAAATCCAGGTGGACCTGGACAAGTTAGAGGAGTGGGCAGAGAACAATAGGATGCAGTTCAACAAGGACAAGTGCAAAGTGCTGCACCTAGAGAGAGGGAATCACTAGCACACATATAGGCTGGGGAATCACCTTCTCAGCAGCACAGTAGCAGAAAGAGATCTCAGAGTTGTTGTCAACTCCAAGATAAATATGAGTCATCAATGTAACAAAGTAATTAGCAGAGCTAACTGCCCTTTGCAATGCGATGTAGGTGCATCAGGCCCTATCCAAATGGTTAAGGTTTTTGTAAAACAATATGCTTTTAAGTAATTTCCATGTTTCAGGAAATATTTCTATCTCATCTGCATTGCTTCTCAAGTATGACTCCTGATATGCTGATTTTCTTTTGATGCAACAATACAGATCTGTGCTATATGAAGCCCAGAATTGATTTATGGAAATCAATCCTTTCAGAATAAATGTGGGTCACTGGGGCAATGGAGAGACATGTTGCTCCTATACTTCAGGGTAAGCTAAATAACTTGGAACAAATATAAGGCCTACCACTGGCCTTGACAAAGTCTGATTTATGGTCCAGAGAGGTGATGCTTCCCCTCTATGTGGCATTGGTCAGGCTGCAGCTGAAGTACTGTGTCCAATTCTGAGCGCTGCAATTCAAGAGTGATATGGACAACCTTGAGAAGGTCCAGAGGAGGGCTACTCATATGGCTAGAGGCCTGCAGAGAAGGCCCTATGAGGAAAGGCTGAGGGACCTGGACCTTTTCAGCCTCTACAAGAGAAGGCTGAGGAAGGATCTTGTGGCAGTATACAAATTCACTGTGGGGGGGAGGGCAGCAGGGAACAGGGGATGCTCTGTTTGCCAGAACACCCCTTGGAATAACCAGAAACAATGGCCACA